CAGTTATGAACTTCAATCAATCAGGGTGATAGGTTGAATTGCAAACGTGTTGACATTATACCTACACCCAGGTCTTTGAGGTCAGTCTCTCACTAGCTCTGGCTGATTACATATACTGGGTCTCTTGATAAATTAGACACATGTGCAACGCTTGGGTATCTTGATTGTGGAAACGTTAGGTCACACAGTGGCTTCATCAGTCCAATAAAGTTACCCAGGTGTCGCACATGTGTCTTGGTTAACAACCTGACGGTTTTCTGAATCATTAATCTACGTGTGTCTCTCTTGTATAAGTCTATGAGACCCATACACAAGTTTGTTCTCTCTTGTTACTTCACTTAAAAATATGGTACCTGTCTACATTGTTACTCTGTTACACTGTAAATATTGCAGATAATTACGGTGGGATATCCCCTGACTGTTCCTTTACAGCCAGGTACCATAGATCTTTTATCTGTGCCTGTGTCAGTAATACTTGTGGACGATAAAGGCGAGTTTATTGGACAACTCATATCCATCCTGTGGATAGTAGCACAAGATCGTATGGCTACATAAAGCGAAGGAACTATGCCCCACAAAGGGTTAACAAGAATACTACCGCCATCTTTAAATAATGTATAAACAATATTAAAATGCATATGTATGATGCTTGGTGTATTCACCTATCTGCATAAATGTCTGGGTGCTAGGTATGGAGTCAGAGGTAGGTGTGTGTGTGTGCGTGTGTGGTGTGTGTGTGTGTGTGTGTGTGTGTGTGTGTGTGTGTGTGTGTGTGTGTGTGTGTGTGTGTGTGTGTGTTGTGTGTGTGTGTGTGTGTGTGTGTGTGCGCGTAGACGGAGTAGAAGTGTGTGAGTATGGAGGGAGTAGAGGTGTGTATGGAGAGTATGAGAGAGCTATGAGAGAGGGATGAATACAGATCAGTTGCCAGAGAACAGTAGTGGTGGCAGGGAGTGGCCTTACATATTTCAAAGGTTAGGAAGAAAACTGCAAGATGTACAAACCACTGACGTATAAAGCCACGTAGCTCACTCGAGAAAAAGTTACTACAACCCCACAGAATAACACTCAAGTCGAAATTCTAGCAGAGTAATACAACTACCACTCAAACCAGGAACAAGAAAACAACAAGAAGAAGTATCACGCCATCTTTAAATGCCCTAACCATTTAAAAAACAAACTGATAACTTCGAAATACGTCCATAAAATTTCACTGGACAGGTAACATGTGTACAGGCCTGTAGGTTACAGGTCACATATATGTATATATATACACACACACACATACAAACACAATGTCCTCCATACATAAGGGGCATTACCAACAGATCCCTGGCTGTCTGCAAGAAAGAACTGGGTTAGTTTCTCGAGTCAGTTCCTGAGCAACTGGGCTGTTGTGCTTACGTTGGACTTCGTGCGGCCAGCACCTACAGCCTGGTTGACCCTCTCATCCACCAAGAGACCTGGTCTGGAACCGGTCCGCGAGGGTACTGACCTTTGGAACACATTCCAGGTAAGCTGGACTACCTGGAGTGAGTTCCGAGCCTCTATCTACACAAAATAATCTTTCGGGTAAAGACTTCTGTTGACAAAGGAAGACCAGAAGAACTCTGCCTATGGTGTTGCTGTTGTATAGGGCCCACTAGGTCTGACATGTGCCCAGGATATATTGATGCGTGTGGCATCCGCTCGTTCATTACCAATACGTCTTGTGTCAGTGTGTATATCAAGGTCCAGGAAGGAGGAAGAGGAAGGCGAGAGCCTAGGAAAGAGGATCCTGTATTAGGAAGCAATTCAAGAGGGTCGCGGATTAGAGAGGAGTCCAAGAGGATCCTGGATTAGGAAGTAATAAAGAGGATCCAGGATTAGGAAGAATTCCAAGAGGATCCTGGATTTGGGAGGAATCCAGAAGGATCCTGGATTAGGAAGGAGTCCAAGAGGATCCAGGATTAGGGAGAAGGAATTCAAAAGGGTCCTGAATTAAGGGGAATCCAAGAAGGTCCTGGATCAGGGAGGGATCCGGGAGGGCTGAGGATCAAGAAGGGGTCCAGGAGGATCGTGGACGAGGAAGGAGGGTCCTGGGTTGGGGAGGAGTCCAGGAGGGTCCTGGATCAAGGAGGGCTCCAGGAGGGTCCTGGATGAGGAAGGAGGGATCCAGGAGGGTGTTAGGGGTCCCCGCCCCCACCAAAGGGGAGGGAGTAAGGGGGGGAGGTGAGCAAGACATAAATATCCAGCTCTGACACGCAGGATTACAGAGACTGCGTGATTTACTCGCTTTCCTATGACCCAAATCCTGCAGAAATCTCGCCCGCAGACTCGTTACCCAGGTGTTATTAGGAGTCGTTTTTCAGGGTGCTGCTACTGGAGGTGACCTGAGCACCACCACCACCACCACCACCACCACCACCCAGTACACTGGCACCACCACCACCCAGTACACTGCCGCCACCATCACCATCGAGTACATTGCCACTACCGCCCAGTACACTGCCATCGCCCAGTACACTGCCACCACCCAGTACACTGGCACCAGCACCTAGTTTCTTTCAACTGCTACACCTTCCATATTACAGTAAATACATGACTACGTATAATATATATAATATATATATATATATATATATATATATATATATATATATATATATATATATATATATATATATATACATATATATATATATATATATATATATATATATATATATATATATATATATATATATATATATATATATATATATATATATATATATATTACATAGCTCAGTGGTACAGCCATCATCCCACAACTGAATGAACAAAGGTTCAACCCCGGGCAAGGCGAGAAGACTAGCCATATCTTCTTACACCTGCTGCACCTGTACACCTAGCAGTAAACAGGTGGGCTGTAGCCTAAGCCAGGGGAAATAAGGATTTGAAAGGAAACAAGCCAGAGTGCTTGACTTTCTTGTATTAAGGAAACAAGCTACACTGCCTGGCCTTCTTGTCATTAACTCATAATTCTTCTCGTTCTCCTTTCCTTTCCTCTTCCTCCTCCTCCTCCTCCTCCTCCACAGTATTCCCAGCATCTCCTCCTCCTCTTCCTCCTCCTCCTCCTCCTCCTCCTCCTCCTCCACAGTATTCCCAGCATCTCCTCCTCCTCTTCCTCCTCCTCCTCGCCCCTGAAAATATCCAGACCTCAACTCTTTCTAGTCAATATAAATCCCAGTATCGACAACCTTGGCTAATGAAAACAAAGCACGGAATACCTAGATTCTCCACACACAAAATCGTTCCCAGATTTGCAATTTGCGGGCGGCCACTTAGCCTCAGCAGGGACAAGGTTGATCTAAATTAGAGGAGCTGGAGTCAGGGGGGTCGTCCTGCGCAGCGACTTTGCAATTGCAAGATCATTATGGTGTAATAATGGTCGACCAGTGTGCACTCACCACACGCACCGTCAACCTCACCTTAGCTTCCTAACATACTTCCCCACACTTGCTGCTCCCCCCCCCCGTGCCTGGGCCTACCACACGCACGCACGCACGAACACGCACAGACGGGAGCTGTGACTCGGCCCCTGTAACCACAACTAGGTGAGTACACACACACACACCCACACACACACACAACACACACACACACACACACACACACACACACACACACACATATGCAATAAGATAACAGTAAACAGGTTATATCAGAATATGCGAAACAACCACTGTGAAAGAATAGTGAAATTCCAAGCGCTTTCGTGACTTCTCACATTATCAAGGAACTAGTTCCTTGATAACGTTCCCGGTAATTTAGGTGCTTCACTAAATTTCTCCATGCAAAGAAGACTCAGGTTTGGTTACAAGTACTTCTGGCAGTTTGGTAGACACATGTTGATCAACCCAAATATAAAGTGACCAGCCCTATGGTCACTATCTTAAACACTATAGGTCACTATCTTAAACACTATGTACTTTATTGTTCACTTACTGAAAAATATATAGATACACAGCATAATAACCTATGTGGTTGAGGCCTAGTTCCTAAGCCTTTTTTGTATCCATATGCTCTAGTGCTACCCTCCACAGGATGGATACGAGGTGCTCGATAAACTAGCCACTTCGGTGGTAAAATCTAAAATCTGTGTACATTCTGTAGGTCTGCAATTTCGCTTGCTTTAATATGGGATGTTTATGTATAGCAATATTGCAGCCTAGAGAGAATAAGTGACTTTAAGAGAACCATCACTGGCTTGTCATCTCTCGTTCTGAATGTTCCCATTATCCATCTTATCAGTTTCCTTGCGGCTGTGATAATGACATCGTTGTGATCGTTGTAGGTGAGATTCTCTGATATTATCACATCTAAGTCCTTCAGAATATTTAAATTTGTATAATCATAAGCTTATTTTTTAAAGAGGGTGGAGGGGTAAGCCAGTGGAAGGTCTCGGTCAGATGACCAAAAGCTCCAGTTGTGGGTCATCACATGATTAAGACCTTCGTCAGGAAACACTTGTTTGTTTCCTGAAAAACCTCTTACTGTGTTGCAAGTGTTAGTTTTTTTCCCGTGTTCTAGTTTATTTCACAAACTACCAAAAAACAAGAGCAATGTAACTGAAAAGTATCCTCAGTGACCATCATATTGCGTTGTGTGGCACCTGGAAACTTGGTTTGTTCTGCCCGGATTTACGTCCCTTTCCCCGGGTTTCACTCAGAAAAATTCTAGTACCCCTCGGGAAAAGGTGTACGGGCGTGATTTTTTCTCTATACGGATATGAAGACGAGGAAACGATGGGGGTGAGACAAGCTTGGGGGAAAGATAGAAGACGGGGAACAGGATGGGGGTGAGCACAAACCCTTGCGGGAGATATGAAGACGAGGAAGGAAGGGGGGAGCACTAACCTTGGAGAGATATGAAAGAGGAACGGGATGGGGGTGACACTAAGCCTTGCGAGAGAATGAGACGAGAACAGGTTTGGGGGTGAGCACAAACCCCTTGCGGGAGATAGAAGACGAGGAACAGGATGGGGGTGAGACTAACCCTTGCGGGAGATATGAAGACGAGGAACAGGAAGGGGGGTGACACAAAGCCTTGCGGGAGATATGAAGCGGGGAAAGATGGGGGGAGCATAAGCCTTGGGGACCCTCTAAACCAACTCTTTTTCCAATCATTCTTGGGTTTTGGTTTTACAAAGTTAAAACTTTACTTTCTTACTTTTTCCATTATTCTTTTTACATCTTTTTGTGCGCTATGTAGTGCCGTCGTGGTGTGTATTTGTGTACTCACCTATTTGCCCATTGCAGAAGTCCAAACACAGCCCTGCCCCCCCTTTTCGGTGTTCGGGGGGGTCGTTTTCTAAGTCCACTCTCTCTCCGTTCCAAGACTTTATCTCGTGTTTTGTGTGTGTGTTGGTGTGTTGGTGTGTGTGTGTGTGTGTGGTGTGTGTGTGTGTGTGTGTGGTGTGTGTGTGTGTGTGTGTGTGTTGTGTATACTCACCCAAGTGGTTGCAGGAGTCGAGTCATGCCATGGCCCCGCCTTTTCGCTAGCGCCACAGGGCCACCCTGCCTGGTCCAGGAGCAGTTGTACGCACAAATAAAAGCCTCTCCCCCTACACTCTTACTCTCAATATAAACTTTGTAGCGGCAAGTTACAAAAACCTTTGGAAGCATTGTAACCCAAAAACAGAGGACAATATGTCCTGGTTTTAAAAAAGTGGGGAGGGGTACAGTTAGTGCCTGGTTTAATACCACCCTTTCCCGCGCCCACGCTGCTGCACCACCCCACCATCCGAGGAGCCCTTTCAAGGGGTCCCTCGGGAAAAAATTTGCTAAGATTACTTTCTAATTTCTGCAGCTTTGCAAGCTCCCGATGATGTGTTGATTACAACACGAAAGGCCTAGAGCTATCATTCAACTTTCCCTGTGGTTGTTTTGCATAATATATATATATATATATATATATATATATATAATATATATATATTATATATATATATATATATATATATATATATTATATATATTATATATATATATCGTGTTTGAGTGAAGACTGCTTCTGCCTCATACCTCACACCCCTCCCTCATACCTCGCAACCCTAACTTATACTTTACACCCCACCCTCATACCTCACACCCCTCCCTCATACCTCGCACCCCCCCTTATACCTTACACCCCCTCATACTTCACACACCCCTCCCTTATACCTTACACCCCACCCTCATACCTCACACCCCACCCTCATACCTCACACCTAATACCCCTCCCTCATACCTCACACCCCTCCCTTATACCTCATACCCCTCCCTAACACATTCAGTATCATTTCCTTGAAGGTCTGGCTCGGGAAAAGCGTACGAGTCTGTATACTCATCGCTTTTGAGTTTGCGGGATGAAGAATGAGTTCACGTGTGCGTGCAGGCGTGTACACGTTCATGCGTGCGCGTGCATGCGTGTGTGCGTGCAGGCGTGTGTTGAAGCATGTATGAGAACAGGAATGTATTAACGCGGCACCCAGGGCAGGACTGAAATCGA